GGGGGTGAAGGAGTGTGAAAAAAGGTGTTTGTGTTGAGTATGTGTGTGTATGCATGTGAGTTCACGCAGGAACTAAAGTTATCATCACTCCATCCGCCGAGGCGTCATCAGTACTGTGCGCTCCAGGCCGGGGCACTGAGGTTGGTGCAGCTGGGAGGATGGCAGCTGCCGTGGTGGGAGGGTGGGGGCACCACGCAGCAGTAACCTGCCTCCCCACCTACCGCGGTCACAACTTTACTTTGGGGATAGGACACTGAAACACCTCCCTGCTGAGAGAAAGAGAAAGTAAAGTTGGAACAGAGAATTTGCCACCACAAGCACTTTCTGAACTGCTAAACGCTTCTTTTGGGGGCTGAGCTGTTGGAAGCTGACGCAAAACGAGACCTTTGGGTGCTCTGTGTTTACCTGAACCATGCTACGCTGATGAGAGGCCATTGGTGAGTAGGTTCCCAGCACAGCCTGGGCCTGGGTGTGTGAAGACTGCTGCACGGCCACAGCAGGGACGTAACCTGCTGCAAACACACACGTATACGCAAGATTATTAAGAGTATATTTTATCAACGCAGTTTGTTTAGTAAGAGGTTAGAAGAGGAAATAAGCCACAGGAGAGTTTTACTAATGAGGAGGGGAACAATGTGAAGCTTAGATACAGCATGAACAAACCACTCTGAAAATAAAGAGGGCGAATCTTCCACAAATTCTTTATTTATTGTTGTTGATAAATAAAATGTGTCCACCAAAACAACACATTTACACATTTATTGTGCCTTGACTGTGTAGCTTGTTCTTACATTTAGTAAATGTTATATTGTGACATGGATTTAAATTTACAGTCATTGCTGTGATCTCTATTTGACACTAATTCACTATTTTCTGGCTGACTTTAAAATCATATATAATTTATATAGTAGTAATGGTGGATTTGTGATTCATTTTAATTTATCAACTCAGTGTTTACGCTTCAATCTTTATTGGCAACATTTAATAATAACAGCAACAAAAACACTGCTCGGGAAATACACTCACATTTTTCCATCATTCATGCAGGAGTCGTTTGTATTTCTGTTCCGATGTCGTTGTTTTGAGTCTTGTATAATTAAATACATTATTTATAGTTTATTTTGTGAACTGATGCCTAGAAGGTGTTGACTGACTGACTGTCTGATGCATTTGCTCATTAAGATACACTACGTGAAATGTGTCTGCTCGGTGTTTTGCGTTGAACAGAAGCAGCAGGAAAAGAGACCGGTTCACTGTGAGACCCTCAGACTACATCTCTGACAGTGTAACGGCCCCCTCCTCTACTGCCACAGTCTGTGCCCCCCCCCGCACAACACACACACACACACATATACAGGTGGGACGTACCTGCTGGTTGCACTGCTTGGCTGTGGACGTGCTGGCTAGGGGAGACAGGCCTGCATTGGTGTTGAGCTGAGGTAGGGTACTGGCCGTAGTAATACATAGGCACCTGAAGGAAAATAATATGAAAGATAGTAGCTTTTTTTTTTTTTTTTTACTGTTATTACCTTAAATTTGTCCTTTAAATGGCAAAATCAATGTCCAACTAAATAAACATAATTTAGGATAATCAATGCAGAATTTATACTTTTTTTTCTTTAAACATATTTAAGACATCTTACAAAACAAACAAACGATTGTTTCATGTACAAAGACATGAAAGATTGATGCACACGTGTGTCCGTACCTGAGGTGAGGGCTGGCAGTAGCTGGGGGGGTTGGGAGGGGGAGGAGGAGCTGCATAGATGTAACCCTGATTGGGAGGGTAGAGGGGAGGGGCTTCACCCGTCGACTGACAGCTCACATGAACCAACTGCGAGGAGAGATCTTCAATCTGTAGGTCACGAGAAAAAGGAGGTCAACACACACACGGACGCCTCTAAACACACGCTTACCGCAAACACACGTATGTGCAGCAGTTATCAGACAGTACAGCGATACATACTGTGGAGTATGGCTGTGAGGGAGTGACAGGCAACATCTGTGGAGCTGTGTAAGAGACAGGTGAGTACTGAAGCACCTGAGAGAGACACACATATGGAGACAGAGATAAAGACACAAACGGAGACTTGTATGTATGTCAGGCTGAACACATCTTGCATGTCGAACACTTCCTGCTGTGTGTGCGCTACCTGCTGCTGTTGGTGCTGAGAGGGAGAGCCCTGCAGCTGAGTCTGGCTCCTGATTGGCTGCTGACTGTCTGGAGGGTTGTACACAGCAGGGGTCCCATCGGGGTTCAGGAAAGGCTGCCCTAAGAGGGCAAAGGGTTGAGTGTGACAAATGAGTATGTGTTGTGTATGTACGTATACATGTATAATATCTTTATGGTGTGTGTGTGTGTGTGTGTGTGTGTCATGTACCAGTATGTGGGTTCACTAAAATGCTTCCCGGCGGGATCCCATTCTCCATGATGTAGGCAGAGTTAGGAGCCGGCTCATCTATGATGGGAGGAGAAGAGGGGCGGGGACAAGTGGATGGCAGTCTGAAAAGAGAGATGGAGCCTGAGAATAGAGAATGAAAGGTGGAGGAAGGAGTGGAGATGTGATAATAAAGAGTGAGAGTGGAAGTGGAGAGGAGAGACGAGAGCTTTAGTATCACAGCACATAACACATTCTCATTTCAACATCTTAATGTGACAATTAAAACAACACGCTCCATCCCTGCCTGAAACATACTGTGTGCAGCCCCTCAGCCCGGCTCCACACTGACGTATTTTTCTTCCTGAACATGTGAAGACGACTGGAGGTGTTGTGTGAAAATTTACAGCGATGGTGTGAAGATTCGTGCAGTGAGTTAAATTTTCGCACCAGAAGAACTTGCGCTGCTTTTTGTTAATTAGATGCTACATAATTTATAAACAGTGATTTTCCCAAGTGTGGTGTGCTGATGAAATCTGCAAATAAGTTTGCTTGCACACAGGTTCAGAGCAGTGAACTGTCTCACCCCTCAGTGACTGAATTTACACCTTAAAGGCGAGACATAAAAATCACTAAATGTTATCGTAACGCAAGGTTTAAAAAGACACACCTGAACCGCGTGCGTCCCAGCTGTGGTTGGCAGGTTGGCGGGGTTTCGGGGTGGGACTTGTCCATTGGTAGGAGGAATCAGAGTCTGTGCTGCTCCACGGCTGGGGGTCGTTGCCATAGCGATAGTCAGTCTCGGTGCTACTCTGCCTGCTGCTGCCTGTCCAGCTGGAGCCTGAGCTGTCACGGCTACCCCTGTGAGGCACATCCAGAATTATCCTACAACCTTATTACTGCATGAGAGGCATACCGTTTATGTGAATGGGGGACAAATGTGGCTCGCACACCTGCTAATATGCCACACATAATGAAGGGCTGATGGGTTTATGCTACATGCACTGATGTAAATGATCTTATATTCCTTCAGTTAGTTTCATTTGGATTGCACAAGATTTTAGAGAATCCTAAACCCTCGTACAAAAAACGCTAAACAAATCTAGGTCCTTTTTCTGCCGCTGAAAAGCTGAGATGATAAATGACTACGCATCTGTGCAGAGCTCTACCTGAAGAGCTGCCTTCTCCTCTGGGTCTCAGCATATGGATTGTACTCCTCCACAGCCCTGCACACACACAGACATATATTAATGTTCTCATCTAAATATAATAAGCTGAAAAGGTACATGGAGAGGATATACTGCAGGCAAGGTTACCTGGTTTCTGTATGGGCACTCTCCTGGGTGCATGGTGGCTGTAAAAGTGCAGTGGAGAAATTAGTGAGTCTCCTATCTGTCTCTATGTCATATTTGCCTGTCTGTCTTCCTCTCTCTCCGCCTGTCTCACCTCTTGGTTGAAGATTCGATCTCGTACTCGTTGGTACTCCTCTTCTCTCTCCTCCATTGACTTGCTTTGCTTCTCTCGTAAGGGATGAAGTCGGGTCTGTAGAGACAGAGAGAGAAACAAGAACAGGTTACAATGCTGATTGGATACGATCAATGTCAATTATAGAGGATATTCCACAGAGACAGGCAGCTACAGAAGAAAGAGGACAGACAGACCTGGTCATCTGAGCTGTTGTCTCTCTTCAAAATGATTTTCCACCGGTGGATCTCTTCTGTCTTGTCCTTATGCACCTCATCCAGGAAACGCTGCTCCGGTCTAACAGACAAAAGAGTAACAACCACATGTCACTTCAGAATGAAAGTTAAAAGGCAAGGATTTACACACACATACTCACAAATGATGTACGCATTGTGTGTGCTTACATGCGTGTGCCACTGGTCCTGTTGATGATGACAGACTTGCCTGTCTGGTCTACATTGTGCTCCATGCCAAAGTAGGCCGCCACCCGATGGACCAGCATACGGTGGTAGGACGACATGTGAGGGAACTTCTTAAAGGAACTGAGAGAGAAATGTGTGGGAAGACAGAAGCAGGATGAAAAAGTGAGTGAATGGGGAAAACAGGGATGGAAATAAAACAAATATAGAACAAGGGAGCGGCAAAAAAAATGGGAGGAAGATGGAAGGAGGTAGATAGAGATTGGTTGTAAGTGCAATTTTATCCCTGGTGGCTCAAACACACCCACACTAACATAACTGATTCAATATATCGATCGATACAGTGAATACGCCGCGTGGACAGAATTATAATATATGAGCTGAAAACATATCTTAAATTAACATAAAGCCATATTCAGTCTTTAATAGGATTTAGCATGCATACAAGTTTCATTTCAGCACATTTAAACGGGCAGATAGCTCAATGAGGACCCAAGGTTATGTACTCTCCTTCACACACACACACACACACACACACACCTATCGCTGGTGATGAAGTCGATCATGTCCTGCTCCAGTTTAAGCAGCATCATGCGGTCTCTGGGGTTGCTGTTGAGGGTGTCGACGATAAACTGGTGCAGGTCTATGCCGGTGGAGTCGGTGTACTCCACGCTGGACTCTGAGAGCGACACAGGCAGGCAGGATGCATTAGGAGACAATAAAAATAAAAACACAAACAGCACACTGCAATATTAAACACCCGGGAGAACTCCATCTAAATAGTGGTACTGAATCCCATTTTATTACATTTTATTTGCCTTCTCTTGTCTCTCTTTTATGAGATATCAATCATACACACACACACCTTTGGACAGTGAATGTTTCTTTGGATCTGTGCTCTTCTCCTGTTCTTCCTCCTTACAGGAAGTTATCTCGTTGTCATGGCAGCTAGATGAGATGTTTGCATCCGGAGATGCCTGAGAGGGAAGAAAATAAAGAGTAATTTGAGAGTAGTGAGGACGGTGATGAGGAGGCGGTAGATGATGATCTGGGTGTGTGTGAGTGTGTGTG